AAAGAAAAAATTTGGGGGTTACTATATTTCCTAGGCATTGAATTATTCATAATTTAAAATTAAGAAAGAGTAATTTTATCAGAGTCTGTTAGGAATTCAGTTGTTAGTATTCCAAGGTTCACAAAGAATGAAACAAATAGCAATCTGCTGATTGTGGTGACCTAACCACAGAGAGATGGGTGGTTACCAGGCACATTGGATCCCAGGGTTCTTCTCATCTTAGTGTTCTTTTCCACATCTTTATTATTCAGATAAATGGGTAAACTCCTGACAAGTGTAGGTATTTACTCAATTGATATAATTGAGCTTGTTAATAAATGTGATATTTGTAAAGAAAGAAGCAATAAGACTGTTGATCAGGACTCTATAAACCACTTTTATCGCCTTGAAGATGAGACTTTTGAAAATTATCATGTCCGCGATTGATCTTAATCTAGCTCAGATCAACTTTTCAGTATTCCTCTAAAAGAGTACTGATTTTCTGAGAATTCCAATAAAAATATTTTCATAAACATTTGCAGGAGTGGTTGTGAAAAACGTTGGAAGAACTGCAGTCATTACTTTCATCTACCATGATTAAAGTTGGTTAGCAAGAATTACTAGATTAGTTTATAACTGGGAAAAAATATTTGCAAGTCATATATCTGACAAAGGCTTAATATCCATAATATATAAGGAACTCTCACAACTCAACAACAAAAAATCAAACAACCCGATCAAAAAATGGGCTGGAGACATGAACAGACATTTCTCCAAAGAAGATATACGGATGGCCAATAGGCACATGAAAAGACGCTCATCATTGCTGATCATCAGGGAAATGCAAATCAAATCTACACTGAGATATCACCTTACACCCATTAGAATGAGAAAAACATCTAAATTTAATAGTAACAAATGTTGGAGAGGTTGTGGAGAGAATGGAACCCTCATACACTGCTGGTGGGAATGCAAACTAGTGCAGCCACTATGGAAAACAGTATGGAGATTCCCAAAAAATTAAAAATAGATCTACCATACAATCCAGCCATTCCACTACTGGGTATCTATCCAAAGAGCTTGAAGTCAGCAATTCCAAAAGTCCTATGCACCCCAATGTTCATTGCAGCATTATTTACAATAGCCAAGACATGGAAGCAACCTAAGTGCCCATCAACAGATGAATGGATAAAGAAGTTGTGGTATATATATACAATGGAATACTACTCAGCTGCAAAACAGAACAAAATCATCCCATTTGCAACAACATGGATGGACCTTGAGGGAATTATGTTAAGTGAAATAAGCCAGTTAGAGAAGGATAATCTCTGTATGACTCCACTCATATGAGGAATTAAAAAATGTGGACAAAGAGAACAGATTAGTGGCTACCAGGGGAAAGGTGGGGTGGGGGGTGGGCACAAAGGATGAAATGGTGCACCTACAACACAAATGACAAACATTAATGTACAACTGAAATCACACAAGATTGTAACCTATCATTAACTCAATAATAAAAAAAGAATTACTAGACTAGTTTAAAAAGAAATCCATGTGCCGAAACAGAAGGACAAGGCATCAGATTCACTGAAATCATTATTTTTTTGTTGAATTCATTGAATATTTAATTCTTGGGTCAATAATTATCAACAAGTTATAAATGACCTCATTTACTTGTGAATGTATTTTTCTTACTGCATTAATTTATTTTTAGAGCCTTCCTTCCTTCCTTTCTTCTCTCCTTCCCTCTTTACCTCCTTTTCTGCGTTTTCTCTTTCTTATATTTGTTTTTATTTTTATCTGTACAACATACCTGATTTATCCAACTTTCAGGAGGGCAGCTATTTGAGCAACAATCTCCTGACTGACACACACTCCAGCATCGTGTATATGACAGTATTATATGATGCTCCTAGAGCAGTATCCTGTAGAATGTGGCTAGGCGATCAGTACCCAGTTGATAATTAGGAAACCAAAAATTTTACTTTTTTTCCATCCTAAGCAGTAAGTTTGCATTTCTACTTGGTCGAATGTGATGGCTTCTTTTCTCTTCAAGCTGCTATAAACCTTTTCAAAGTTAAAATAGGTCTCTGAGATTTGATGGTAAAGTATCTTATTTGTAGAACATGACAAAATATCTTGCCAACCAGAATAATGCTATATAGTATACGATGTTAACAGTTCTTAAAGTGATTTCCCTTTTGATCTTCTTCATTATTTATATGCAATTTAATTATTTGAAGTTACTCTTGAAAGTGAGATTAACTTTCCAATATGTTTATTTGGTAAAAGGAGCTTTGTTGGGATTTCCCTAACACTTTAAATGGAAAGAAAAACAGAGATTTGGATGCTTGTATATTAATGGAAAAGAAGTAGATTTAACTAGTTAATTCATGCAAGAAATTTTTATTGTACACCTACAGATATAGTTCTTGTCCTCCTTGAACTTAGAATAGTGTCTGGGAAGACTATTGTGAAATGAGCAGACACAAATATACAATCACAAATTGTGATGTTTGACGGGAGGGCAAAGATATAGGTGCTATGAGAGAGAATGGGCTGGGGAGGACTTATTTTAAATCGAATGGCTAAAAATGGTCTCTGAAGAGCTTACATTTAATCTGAGACCTGAAGCCAGTCCCTCCAAGAATATTCCAGGCAAAGGACCAGGATGTGGAAAGGCCCCTAAGCAAGAGAGTCTTACGGCTTCTTTGCTTCATTTCCAAGGAAGGCTCACATTTCCACTTCTATTTCCCCCACGATGGGAAACATGTCTTGAACAGCCAAAGGACTAATTTGCCTTCGTTAGTCCCCTTTTCATGGCCTATCCTGTTTAAAACATCACTGTGGCCTCCAGTGTCGGTGACTCTAGTTCAGGACTCAATATGTGGTTTAGATATTTTCCACTACTGATATTAGGTTGAACTAAATGAAATCACCATTTTTTTTAATGTTAAAAACAGACGACTGCAGACAGTTTCACTTGGTTCAGTCTGCATATTGCCATTAATTCTGTGGATCCTGGAAGATCTCGAGTACTAACTAGATCACTGGAATGTTTTTGGAGAATGAATTGGAGACCATAGATTTATTTTTGAATATTATTCACCATCTCACTTTCTGAAAGTATTGATGTCGCAGAGAAAATTTAACTCCATGGAAATACTTTTACCTAATTATAATCATAGATCATCAAATTATGGAAGGGAATTATGCTTACTTTTTACTTTTTATATTTTTGTTACACTAGTGCATCAAAATTCCAATATTGAAACAGATTTTAAAAACATGAAGAGTGTTTTGAAATATTTTTAATACCTCAGGATGTCATACTTTCTTTTTGTATTCAATGTAAAATATTTTTGAAGTTCTATGGTATCGATTGGTTTAAAGTTATTATTTTGCCTTTATTTTTACCACATTTTTACCTTTATTATTATTACTATTCCTTTATTTATACTCTAGAAATCATATTTCTATGATTCTCCCATAATTATATAGGGAGCTATTAAAATGTAGATTACTGGTTTCTAGTTTATACACAATTGATACCAACTGAATCAGAATTTTTGGGAATCTGCATTTTTAATAATCATCACAGGTAATTCTTATGCAACTTAAACTTTGAGAAAAACCTCTCCAACCAAATGAATCATAGATAATTGTATATTGGCTTTTCTTTGTTCATGTTAAGCAATGCTTCTGTGTCACTGAAGAGTATATGTGGGTGAGGATTAAATACAAGAGCAGTTATAGAGCTCAGCAAAAAGCTTGCTTTCCCACTGCAAAATGCAAAGATACCTGTGTGTATGTTTGTACTTATAAAAATAAAAATATGATATATTATAGAATATATATTTCTAGAACTAAGTTCCCGAAAGGTGAAATTCTCAAAAAACAGCAACAATTTCTTCTAAACATAGAGAAAGTCTCTGTGGTCAGTTTTACTGTTATATGCCAAGAATTTTTTATATACTAAAAGCAAAACAAAACAAAACTGAAATACAGGTATAGCAATAATTGTAGTAGCTTGTAGGATATACACTTTGCAAAGCGCTTGCATGTATATTATTGGATTTTTTCAATTATTTGCTTTCAATCTAATTCCTTGCTTGAATACAGTTTAATTTCTTACTTGCTTGTAAAATCATTCATGGTTGTATTAAATTTGTGTTTCTATTAAATCTCTTTGGCTAACTTAGACATTGCTAACCTATGACCAAATCTCTACTGAGAAAGTAAGCTTGAAGTTAAAGTGGATGAAGGTTACCATGATTTCTACTTCCGACTCTTTTGGAAACTTTAGCTTTACTCGTGGTCTCTGTGTTTGGCTGGAGAAAGCCACATGGCCAAAGAAAATATGCAGAAATCTCCTAAAACTAATCCATAGAAAGCTGGTAAACTATAACTTTGGACTATGATGGCCACATGTGCCTTTCATCAGCCAAGGAAACCACGATAGCCAAGCTTTTGATAATGATTAAAAAAATTGTAAACCCATGATTATGTCTTCTCTCAGGAAGTCCTGGTGTAATACACTGATCCTGGCTACAGGCCTCACTGATCCTCTAAAAAACATACTAATAGGGAATTCCACCTCAGCAACTTTTTCTTAAGACAGTGTTTTTCCTTTCAGATAGGGGGTTGTTCTAATGGTAGTTGAGTCAGCCATGCAAGTCATTCTCAGGATTTAGTTGATTCTGCTGCATTGAGGTTTCATTTGAAAGGTCCTCAAGACTTTCATTGTCTTCCAAATGCCTTCCCCTTGTTTCAGTTCCTCACATTGTGGGCTATCTTAGTGACAATATCTTTTCCTTTTAATAGTTATTCACTTAAAAAACCTTCAAAATATTAGCCAGTCGCTGAAGTTTTCTTTGAAGAAAAATATGACTGCTCGTGTAAACAATTAATGGTTGTTAAGCATGGCAGTGTATATTATGACAAACAACACATGCTACATTATGCCAGCTGGTGTAATGATGTGATAATGGCTGACTCATTAACTCTGGCACACAGTTTACGATGGCCTTCTATGACAGGATTAATTGATTCACACATACATTAAAACAAAAATAACTACACTGAAATTCAGCTGGAAGCCTGGCTCCTCGTTTGTCATAAAGCCTGCTGTTGGTGATAGCTGACAAAGACCCTAATGCGGAATGGGTTGAGGTTCCCTTACTGACCTCACCTTTGTTTCCGTCTGCGAACAAGAGCCTTGAAACACACCAGAATGCTTTAAGGTAAGGCTTTCCCTGGAGAAGCGTTCATACAGGAACAAAACACGTACACACGTACAGTTTCAACAATGAAATGGCTCAATAGACCTTTTTAAAGCAAGTTCAGCAACAAAACAACCATTATTAAAGGGTGTCTTATCTACTAGAAATATAATTTAGATGCTTTTCCAAAATAATTAGATATTTAAAGAATTTCTGTCAGCTAGCTAATCAAATACTTCTCAGAGAGATTTTTGGAACTGTAAGGAATTCCGACTTATATTAGCATGGTAATAAACAGAGCGCTCACCAGGGTGCTAAATTTTCTCCTTTGCCTCAGCTGCAGTGTTCTCTCTTCGTTGAATTGTGAGGGTTGGTAATACTTCAAACTTGAGCCTAGGCAACTCTTCTTCACCTAAAACCTGGAAATGTAATAACAATCCTATTAAATTGGAAAGCTCACTCATTTTAATATAAAATATATATTCATTGTTATTCTGGGGCACTTTAAACCAAGAACTAAATTATTTTTTTACTAAACATCCTGTGTTTCAATTGAGACCATATATATTGTATTTAGCAGTTTCTAGTTGTTTCCTTAAATAAGAACTGAATCATATAATATTCTTATTTCAAAAGTACTTTAGACATACTCTATTTATTATTATTATTATTGGTATTATTATTACTAGCAATTATAGGATAAATGTTGGAGGATATAGAAAACCCACGAGTTTACCTGAGTGTATTTTATTCAACATACTGAAAGATAAAACGTACTAGAGGAAACAGGTGCTAACTTTAAAAAAATTATAATTGCTTTGATTATTTTCATTAATTTTATTTATTTTACCATTTTTGTTTTCAGAATCATAGGAGGCATGTCATGTCTCTTCTTTACGTTGAGGCTGAACATTCTTCTAGGCTGGTCAAGTAACCAAGAGATCAGTTAAGGTTAATGAAAGTTAAAACTCTAAGAGAGGCTCGGGAGTCATCTTGAAAGGAAGAAGTGGAATAATTTATTTACCTCTCTTTCTACCTTGTTAATTTCCATTATGGCATTAAAGTAACAATTCCAAACTTTTTCCTTTTTTTCATCTATAGATCAGTTTTTATATAATTTTATTTGTCCTTGTTATAAAACCCATGTCTAAAGGAGACAACTTAGAAGAGTCAATGAAAACATTAAGAAGAAAATTAGAGATCATTCCTAATTTCATGACTCAAAGATAATAATAATTAACAGGCTAACACATTTCCTGTCAGAGTTACTTTGTGTATATGTTATATATTTTTTAAAAAATTGAGATAATATAAATATGATCTTGTATCCATTTTTCTTTCTTCTTATGATTAGATCCTGAACATTTCAAATTTTATTAAATGTTTCAAAAACATTGTTTTTAACGGCTATTTAACATTTTCAATATCTCAATATTGCTGGACGTTACCATTGTTTTTAAACTTTCATTTATTATAGGATATGCTGTAATTAATATGAGTCCCATGTTTTGAAAAGTTTGGTCTATAAAGTAAATGGAATTTGTCAACAAATAATTCAGATGCCACACCATTTAAAAATTAATCAAAATCATAGTAACTGCCATCCAGATTTTTAGATCAACGTTAGAAATCGGTCTTGTCGCCCTGAATTCGTAACATTTCATCCAACGTAGAAAGGAAAGTTATGTTTATTTGTTTCTATGCAGTTTTTCAGGAAAACTCATGATCTACCTTTGATGTGTTGACATGTGAGAAACAGCTCTGAGACCTATCAGCTGACAACTGCTACACCAGCAGATAATACTTAGTCACACTTTACAAAGGTAAGTAGGCTTAATGGATGGTATCAATTATCTCCCCACCTTGAGAAAAACAAAATTTGTTTTTCCAAAGAAGTGAATGGGTCTATGTAAACCACGGCAGTGGGAAGAGCAAGCACTGAAGGATTTTTTAAAAATTAGATAGATACATAGACATAGATATAGATATATAGATCATTGGATGTGTCTTTCAGGATGAGGTCATTTATCTTGTCGGAAGAATTGTGTCTTGCTCAAGGTCAGGAGTGTGACGTGTTGCTTCTTTGCATGCTGCCTCTGCTTCCAGAAGCTTCTCAGTCTTTTGTTGGTGTGCTTAATAGTTTGTGGTTTAGCGTTGTGGTAGCTTCTTTATTTGAATGAGATGCATTGAGTGCACTGTCTCTATTTCTCATGCTTTTATTTGTTGATTTTGTTGTGTGTGTGTGCATGGTTTATCTTTTTGTTTGTAACTCTGTCGTTTTTAGTGGTGTTTGACTAAGGAAATTGAGAAAATGTCTTAGTATATAATCTTTAAAAGACTGCTTTTTTTAAAATGTAAAAGATAGACTGGCTTATCAAAGTTGGCATTCTCATAATGTCTCTATATCTGGTCCTTGTAGGCACTTCAGTTTGCAATTCCTGGTCTAAGATTGAGCTTGGTTGAGAAAAGAAGGGTGAGTGGTGAATTTGCCACTGCTGGAAGTGGAATAGAGTGAAGGAAGAAGAAGAAATAGTAAGGGCCAGGTTGCAATGGATATAAAGTGCTTTTCTATATGCAACACTGGCTGTAAGAACAATAAAGGAAAAGTTTCCAATGGTTTAAGAAAATAATATATTTTGGGACGAGATGTGGAGGCAAAAAGCCCAATAGAATCTGTTGACAACTTCAGCTTACTCTGTATTCCCTTGTAGCCACAATGCTTTATACTCTCTGGTAAGTAACTCATCCTATGCCTTCAAACTTGACTAGTAATCTGAAAGAAATGTGCAAAAAAAAAAACAAAAACATAAAATAGCATTTGCAAAGCAAATCGAGTACTTATATTAAATGAGATAATTAACATAAAGGAGTTAGAATGTGTCTGCAAATAGCAAATTCTCAATACATGTTAAACATACATCACAGAAATAGTCATCCAAAGAGACACAGATAATTGTCTGACAAATAATTGTCCATGATCTCATAGAAATTACAACTCTCTCTCTCTATACATATATATGTTGCTATGTTCTGAATGTTTGTGTCCCCCCAAAATTCGTACGTTGAAATTCTAATGCCCAATGTGATGGTATTGGGAGGTGAGGTCTTTGTGAAGTGCATAGGTCATAAGGGTGGCACCCTCCTGAATGAGATTAGTGCCCTTATAATAGGGATCCTAGAGAGCTCTCTTGCTCCTTCCCTTCCTGCTATGTGAGGATACAAAGAGAAGTTGGCAGTCTGCAACCTGGAAGAGGGCTCTCACTTGACCATGCTGACGCTCTGATCTTGGACTTCCACCCTCCAGAACTGTGAGAAATAAATTTCTGTTGTTTATATGCTACCCAGTCTGCGATATTTTTTATAGCAGTGTGAACAAACTAAGATAGATATATATATGTATGTATATATGTCTTATAAATACGCATCCACACAGAGAGAGAGAGCTGAAAAAGGAGACACAATGATACAAAGGAGATTATAAAGCAACAAAAAGAGATTAAAAGTTAAAAGGCAGAACTTAAAATAGAAGTGGAAGACAAAAATAAACATGAGTAAAGACAGGAAACTATGTTGGAAATACCAAAAACTAGAATAAGTGTGAATTAAAGAAAGTTCGGGATACAAAGCATGGATAGGCTTGAAGAAATCATTCAAAACAAAATTGAGACAAGAAATCCATATTATACATAGAACCACCAAAAACTAGAATAAGCATGAATAAAATAATGTCAGGGACACAAAGTATGAATAGGCTTGAAGAATTCACTTGAAACAAAATGGAAAAGAACAAGAACATGAAAATGACTTTAGAGTTGATAATAGAAATGAAAGTCCATCAATAGAGATGCAACAAATAAATAGCTGGTACTCCAAAAGAAGAGAACAAAAGAGACTAAATGAAAATAAGCAAATAAATAAATTTCTTTAAAAAAAAAGGAATTTAATTTGCAGATGGAAACAGCATACAATGCCCCCAGGACAAATTGATATCTAATGTTTAACACCAAATTATATTGTGATGAATTTAGTAACAAAAAAGAATAAAGAAAAAAATCATAAGGACATCCTGCACCTGGGAAGTTAGAAAGCAAGTTACAGACAAGAGGAATAAATATGATTGGTCTGAGATGTCATTCAATGTCCCATTTGATGTCAGAAGACAAAGAAGCAATGTCTACAAAGTTTTGAGAAAAACATAGTATGATTCAAGAACTTTATACCTAGCCAAATTGTCCTTCAAGTTTAAATGAAAAGAAAGATGTTATTAGTAATGCAAAAACTTAGAACAAGGACTCTTTTATTAAAATTGAGAAAAAAAAAAAAGAATATGCTTCTATGCCAAAATTCAGCCAGACAAAAGATGGATGAAAAGAAGTATTGTAGGAATGGGGACACTGTGATCAATGGAGTGACAGAAAATTGTAATTATATACACGTTACAAAATTTGGCAATGTAAAACTAATAATACACCTAACAAACAGTTGGGATGAGACTGTAGGAGGTGGAAATCACCTACGAGTGTGTAAAGTCCTGTCTCTCCTAGCGTCAGTTCAAAAGATACTGTTTAAAGCTGAATCCCGTAGTTAAACAAAACAAAACAGGAACTCTGACCTCTTGCGTAATGGTCTTTACTTTAGAGAAATCTTTTGGAAATTGCAATGTTTTGTTGTGGAAAAACATCTGAATTTCATCAATCTTTTCAGTTTCACTTATTTTTCCCTTGACAGTCAAATAAAATTAATCTCATATGGATCAAGTGTTCCCAATTGCCCATTTCTTACCCTCTGCTTTGTTTTGATTAAACGTTAGTCAGGCTTCTCTCCTTCCTGTGAAATCCGCTTATCTCCAAGGCTGAGCAAGCACTAAAAAGCAGAACGAGCCCGCCCTTATCAGCTTATTCTGAGAACCGGCTGACCAGAGCAAGGCACTTTCCTATCAGATTCCACTGGTCATCTCCCCTTGCTGCCCAACTTCTTGTTAAAAGTTTCTGCTAATCTTTGTTTACCTCCTTGAGTTTCTTAGGCCTACCATAACAAATTACCATAAACTGAGTGGCTGAAAACAACAGTAATTTATTCTCTTACCGTTGTGGAGGCTGGACGTCTGAAAGGTCTTCAAGGAGTCAGCAGGGCCATGTTCCTACTGAGACTCTGGGTACTGTCCTTCCTTGCCTCTTCCTAGCTTCTGCCGGTGGCTGTTAATCACTGACATTCCTTGGTTTGCAGCTGTATCACTCCAGTATCTGCCTCCATCTTCACGTGGCTTTCTTCCCTCATATCCTCCCAGGGTCTTCTGATGGTCATACTTGATTAAGGGCCTATCCTACTCCAGTATGACCTCATCTAAACTATCTGCAATGAACTTATTTCCAAATAAAGTCACATGTACTGGGAATTAGGACTTCAACACATCTTTTTGAGTGACACAAGTCAATACATAACACCTCTCTTTACCCTACAAAAGAAAAGACTTTTTCTGTTTGATTTTGAGAAGCTTGAAGATTTTTGAGATTGGACGTTTCTCCCTATTGCAATAGTCTTTCTTCTGCACAAAGTCTCCCCTTATCTAAGACTGGATTTGTTTTTATTTTACTTTATTTGAGATTTAAGCTAATACAAGAATATATTTGTTTTCAATCTAACTTTTTTTTTTTGGTTAGGTGTTTTCTTGTTTGTTGTTTTTTTGGTGAGGAAGATTGGCCCTGAGCTAACATCTGTTGCCAATCCTCCTCTTTTTGCTTGAAGAAGATTGTCTCTGAGCTAACACCTGTGCCCATCTTCCTCTGTTTTGTATGTGGGATGCCACCACAGCCTGGCTTGGCCAGCGGTGTGTAGGTCTGTGCCTGTGATCCAAACCCATGAACCCCGGGCTGCAGAAGCAGAGTGTGCAAATTTAACCACTATGCTACCAGGCCGGCACCCTCAATCTAACTTTTTGAAAAGAGTCTAAAGTGTAAATCCAGGATAAATTTAAGGTGTAATTGCTAAAAGTTAGAAAAAGTTCTAGTTAACCTTAAAATTGGCTAATATTCATTCTATTAGAATTTTTTTAGCTGATCAGAGGAAAAATGGATTACCTTGAGTTATCTTCAGAGCTTCCCCATTTATTCAGATCCCTTGTTCACATCATCTATTAATGCAGCTGGCATTCTGAGAGCTTGTTGCGATTGCCTCAGGAGAATGATGACATATTTGGACACACAAAGATTTTTTTCTAGTTTCTATTAAAAGAGAATTTACACTTTGGGAGTTTAAATTGCAAACAAGACCCCTGCTAAGGTTCCACTGTTCAATAGCTTGTTGCCTTATTAGGCAACATTGATTTTTTCCAAATATGATATTTTGTACACAGTGGTTCTTTAGTTAATCATAAAGTGTATTGTTAAGGAAATGTGCCACATCTCGAATGAAGGAAATTCAGACAAAAATAACTACAGATGAAACAAACCGTATAATCAACTGTCTTCTGTACTACAGCTGGCTGGAGTTTGAGTAATTTCGTTGACACTTTAGCTCTAAATCAAGAAAGGCGAACAGAAAACTTATTCAGTGATAGGTACAATTCTTCAAAACATGCAGTGTTTTCAGTGGATTAAATTTAGTGCTTTCAGAATTCTAGGTTTAGTTTTTTGTTTTTTTTTTTTACTATGTCTCATACCTGACTTAAAATACTGCCAACTTTCTGATAGACATTCAGTTCTAGAATAAAGGTCATGGGGGCGGTGGGGGGGGGGGGGCGGGGACAACTAGGTAGTGTTTAAGATCCACTGTTGAAGTGCTGAGGAATATTAGTTTGATTTTTTAAAATTTTTAATTAAAATAG